ATCTTTGTTAAAAGACTATTATATGGAAATGTTTGTGGATTAGACTAATAAAAATTAATTTTTTTAATATCTATTTAAAGAATTTTCTTTGAGTCTTTGCTAAAGATTTTCATAATAGTAAACATACAAATAGACAAAAAAAGAAAACTATATTTATACAAAAAGTTAATATTAACATTTAAGAAACAGAAATTAAATTTGGACAATTTCAAATTTCAGTATAAAGAAATTAAGCAAGAAAACTTTTAAAAGACATACTAATAGTTAAAAATTAAGAATAAAGTACAATTGCATAAATATTAAAATTAAAAATAACAAAATAAAAGTAATTTTTAATTGGAAATCGATATTTAGAAGTTGTCATCAAGATTAGTCTAACCACAACTAACCATAGGACTGCCCAAATGAAAGTTGAAATGTTTGAGTTGCTTGATATATCAAAACATGCCAATAATCTAAAGTTTTATTGATACGCAGCAAAAAGTTGTTTGCACTACACTATATTCATATGCACATACATTACAGCCACATTTGAGTGTATTGTACAAATTTAAAGTGGTGTTGCAGTTAACTTTCCATATGAAAGTACAAATTTAGCATCAGCGCTGGTGTGTTTTGAAAAAAAAAGCAAAATATATGTATAGTGGGTTCGCATATATGCATAAACTCGTATGTGTGTATAGACTCAATAATATGACATTATTGCTATTAATGTTTTGTTTTTGGTGTTTGTTAGGCACAAAATACAGACAAAAACGCAAAAGATCAGCTGAACTATTTGTCTAAATATATATTTGTGCATATTGTGATATTTAAGTTCAAATATCTGATATTCCGTGCTCTAAAAAAATCACTTCGCTTTGCTAACTACAATATCAAAGTTGTTAAATAACGGTTTCGATTGTTAAACAAATCTAAAAAAAAACTGTTTGTGCAAAAAAATGTCTGTTGTTTCTTAATTTTATTTTTTAATTTTTTCGCAAGCTAGAACCTGGCTTAATTAAGACAGTTTTAACCGCAGTCTTGTTTTACAACCGATGTCGAAGCATACAATTCTTTTTTTTTTTATAAAACTGTGCTACATCACAATTCAAATGGATGATATTTTGGTATGCGCACAGTTTGGTAAACAATTTTTGATTTGTTTTTCTTTCTTTGAAAATGAAATTGTAAAGTTGATATTTCTCTCAGTAAAAAAAGAAAAAAAGTGAATAAAAAATACAAGTCAATAGAGATAACCAAAACAATTTCAGTTTTAATAAAAAAATAATCTATGTACAACAAATTTTTTTCCTGAATTGAAACATTTTGCTTTAAGCTGACGCAATATTGAATCATACGAGCCTAATTGACATCACTATCGTATATTCCATGAAATTTCATTTACCTTTTACTATTTTATCTTCTATCAATATGAATAAAATTGCAAATAAAATTCATATATCAATCACAAGCATTAAAGAATGAACTAGATATTTCAACGCTCGCAAAGCTCAAATAAAAATTTTTCTAACAAGAAGGTGTTGTAAATTTCAGGAAATTTTTTTTCAAACAGTTTTGTATTTTTTTCACTTGAAAAAATCTGAATTACTTATTTATTATTTATAATATATTATTTATTATTTATTATTTATTATTTATTATTTATTATTTATTATTTATTATTTATTATTTATTATTTATTATTTATTATTTATTATTTATTATTTATTTGAGCCTTTTGCGTTCGTCAAAATTCCCTTAATACTAATTCCAATTTCTTCAGAGAACAGTGGAAAATACGACTTCCAAGCAGCGTTATTTTGATTTTAGCCTATTTTAGGGAGACAGTGAAATTAATTTTGGGAAATCATTACTTAATTATAAATTTCTAATCTTACTATATAACTAAATAAAATTGAAATTCTAATTATATTAGAAACCACTAATTTATTGCTAGCTGATAGGCATGTGCGCTGAAAGCTCAATACACTCCCCCGCAGGCAGACATACACATATTTCTTAAAAGACAAATAAATATATAGTAAAACCACGAAATGCAGAAAACGGCAAATTTCAAGGAAGCAAAACAGTCAGAAGGGTAGCCAAGCAGACATAGAAGATAAAACTGCCACCCACACTGAGAAGAAGAAGAAGGATTGGGGAATGTGAATTAGAGCACGACTGGCGCATGTAAATAATTTCGAAAGAACAACAAAACAAGAGTGCAAAAACAAAACGAAAAAAAAAACACGAAAAGAAAACCAGTAGTCATTGTGGGATTAAGGTGCGGCATCAAGTAAGCTAAAGCAAAAGCCTTTTCCAAGAAACTCCTATTTTTTTCCGTAAGTGTGTCAGGTGCAAGTCGGGAGTGTGTGAAGCAACAACAAAAAATTGTGTAAAAATAAAAATGCTTACCAAAATTAACTTATGTTAAATATCGCATACGTAAATTTCCTGCCACTTGCAAAAACCGCTACACAAACACTCACCCACTTTACCGTACATAAACGTTTATTGCATGTTTTATATTTTATTTGTTTTACTTTGTTTTTCCTTTTTTATCTGTGTTTGCTTACCAACGACCAAGTGGATAAATATTCAATTAGTATGGCGTGTTTTTAGGTGTAGGCGAACACTTGTTTTACAAGAGCCAAAGTGTACGTGCTAACAAATACCTAAGTATGTGTGTGTGCGAGGAAATTCTAAGCATTCGTCTTTTGTGTTAACACAAATACTCATACCCAAAACTTTCTGCACTTGTCTGAGCAGCAGCTAAAGCCAAAACCAAAGCTACTTGTGGTTCAAGCCTTAGGCACAACAAGTGTTTTCAGTTCCGTCTTCAGGCAGTATTTGCACATGTTCTTTTACTTAGAGAAGACAAAAATTCGAACAAAACCTTAAACATGTATTTAAGCTTGTTAGTACTGGTGTGTGCAATACTTTCACTCACACACATAAATGCAAATTTTATTGTCAAACGGCTACTCTAATACCTGCAAATATATCAGCTCAGAATATTAATATTTTAAAGTTTTCACCACGATTAGCCATTATGCCACCACTTACAAATTATTATATTTTATTTTATTTTTTACCTATTTATTCTCTTATTTTGCTTTATTCTGTTCTCCTTTTTTGATACCATCTTTTACTAATGCGCTGATAACCTCATTTATCCGTTTATTTAATTTCAATCTAATTATGGATTTTTGCATTCAGGTTACTCATACGCCATGCGGTATCTTTGGTTTGCTATATTGCTTACGATTATGTACCTACAGCCATAAATGCACATATAATATATTATGTCGGTAAGAAAAATGGGGTCAGCCATTAGTGTTGTGTTGAGTGAAAAATTGTTACAAAAACAATGTCACAACTTTCTGTATGCTTTTATGATTACCATATATGTATGTATGTATTCCGTCATGGTGAGACTTTTGTTGTTTGTATTGTATAAGCTAAAGTTATATATATTTTTTTTTGTTTTTCAAACAAAAAAATAAAGAATGAAAATTATAAATTATGCCAACAATATTAATGGTTACATGTGTTGTGTCAACCTAAATATATTTCAGGAGCTATTCATATTTCAGTTTGTGTGCGTGTGGATTGATTGAAATTTTTGTAAGTTCGCCTACATGACTGTCACACCCTTCTTCTTCTTTAAATATTTGCTACTGGAAAACTCACATTTTTTCCACCACTTCAATTACCTCTCAAAGGCCCCTAAATGTAATGCTACTCAAATTTCAATAATACTCGTTCATGCGCACATATAGTAGATTTAGATATAATAATATATATGTTGTGTATATGAATGTACGTTATGTGTGCAAGCTGATATGTACTCACAAATATATCTAATCACTTTTTGTTCATCACTTTTACTTCAACTTTCTCAATTTTATTGTCACATCTGCGTTTTCTGTCGTTTTCATTTTCTCGTTATTTTATTTTATTTTTTATTTTTTTACCTCTGCCGTTATATTGTCATATTAATATTCTACACTCTTCACGAAAATCATGTGAATCAGCCAATTTTCTTACACTGCTCTCCTGCGTCTTCTTCTAATCATTCTGCCGCCTCAAGTCAATTCAAAAAGTTTGTCTGCTTGTAAGCCGTGGATGTCAAAGCAATCATATTCTTTTTTTAAATGTGTGTCAAAGTCAAGCATTTACGCACTTGTAGACAACACTTTTACATGTACACTTGCCCACATACGTGCTTTGGTATATGTGCCTGTGTGAGTTAAAGTGAATTTCATGCGTGAATTGGCAGTCGCAGGTATTGTGACAGTTCGACTCGATTGGGCTAATTCGTGACTTTTATGTTAGCAAATTTGATGTTTTTTGTATGAAAAATTTGAATCGGTATATATGTATATATTTCCTTGCGGTGGAGAAAGTGAAATCGAAATATAGTGTATGTGTCCCACGAAAAACGAAACTTCTTGCTAGATATAAATTTACTGAAACCTTCATTACGCAGTGGTAGGCTGAAGTGAATATGTTCAAAAATTCATATTCTGGTATTTTGATGAATTAACTCTCCCTTCACTGCGTAGTCTGCCTTCGCATGGAACAGAGCTTGTAGTAGGCGTAGTGTTGTAAAGTGTACCGAGTGATAAAGCGTGAGTGGTGCAAAACAAATGAGAAAACACATTTATGTGCCGTTTTTATATGTATATATTCGCCAACAAATTTTGTTCACTCCTTTTTAGCATTTTCCGCGCATGTAGAAAAAGTGTCATGCGACGTTCATATCGCAAATTTAATCACAATTCACTTATTTTTAAATTATCTTAATTTCTTTAACTGTTCAACGTATATCTAATAAAAGAAAATGTTGGACCAACAATTCACTTGTTTTGGAGTCCTTAGTGGCCATTACTTAAGATTAACATTGGGGAAATTAATTTGATAAGCCAATCTATGCGCTTTACTTCTTTACTAATGCTATTAAATTAGTTAAATAAGAAAAAATTACATTAGCATGAGTACCTAACATTATTAAATATTTTTAACAATAAATCTGCGATGACTAGTTCCAGTACAATTTGCATGATTAACTCACGCAGCCCAACGCAAAACGACCGCTTCGTAAGGCATCAATAATATGCGTTTGCTCAAATCGACTCTTTCTCTGAAATTGCAAGACATAAACATGGTATGATACATATATTTATTGTAATAAATTTAAACAAAAATCAAGTTATTACCCTATCCGATGTGGCGAGTATGAAGTGAGTATAACATATTCCATCGTCTTATTAGTCAAGCCATCAAAATATTCAAACTGACTACCAAAGTTGGCCAACACGCGGTACTCCTCACGTTTGGCATCAGTTCTGCAGAAACATAGTTTTGATAAGAAAAAAAATTAATCAATCAAAATTAATCCCTCGAATAGACAACGTACCTAACAATCTGAAAGACTTGCTTGCTCAGCGCGCCGAAAGAGAAACCACCTTCTTTCTTGAACGCTTTGAAGGCAGCCGTTTTCTTCAGCGCCGTCATGCTCTTGAATATCTGCAAGGTACTACGTGCTATGCCGCGCTGTGCTTGCACATTCAGCTGCTTGTAGTTGGGATTCACAGGCAGCCATGTCGAGTTGCCCGCACTGAAGCCGGCATTTTTCGACGCGTCCCACTGCATGGGTGTGCGGACTGGATCGCGAAAATCACAATTACTTGGCGTGCATTCTGTATTCATATCGGGCATGCCGATCTCGTCACCCTAAATTTTTTTTGAAAAATATTTAGAAAAAAGTTCTAATTGGAGTTTTATAAACTATATATATATATATGTATATGTATGTGTTCGAAAACAATATGTTTATTAAAATACTAACATAATAAGTCACTGAAGTACCGGGCAAGGCATGCGCAATAATTGTCATGATATCTCGCCTCTGCCAACCGAGGCGTGTCGCCGGCCGGCTATTGTCGTGATTGCCCACTACCCAATTAGCCATTTTATGTCTAGGCCACATCACATCCATCCAGTTTTTGGCCATATATTCAACATGCTCAGCTGTCACCTGATTATTCAACGGAATGAAGTTGAAATTCATGGGCACCTGGCTGCCTACGTGTGTGCCATTATTGATATAAGTGCTTAGAACTTCCACGGGTGAGTAGGCCTCCGCGATCATGGCGCTGTAAAATAAGATTATTATCGAGTTTAATGTAAGGGTCTCCCACTTACCGTGTTTCACCGCCGTGCAGGCGCTGATATTCATCCAAAAACTCACGCCATTCGTAAAGTAATTCCACATTCTCAGGTTGATCTTTTGTGTATATGTGTGTATAGTATTGATAATGATTTGTATCATTGGTAAAGCCGCTAACAAACTCGTCTGGGTAAGTGCCGTTTTCGAAACGCATCTCACGAAAATGTGGCACCGCATCAATGCGAAAAGCGTCCACACCACGGTCCAGCCAAAATCTCATGACCTCAATTAGTTTTTTGCGCAATTGTGGATTTGTAAAATTGAAATCGGGTTGTTTGGGCAGAAATTGGTTCAAATAGTATTGTTGCCGTTGCTCGTTCCACGTCCACATCGGGCCATTAAAAACGGAGTTCTAGGCCAAGAAAAGAGGACGGATGTAATAATACGCATAATCAACTATAAAATACTCACCCAATTGCTTGGCGGTTTGCGCTCACCCGTCACTGGATCCACCTTACCATCTTCCCATATGTAGAAGTCGTCATAGCCATCTTCACGTAGCACGGATTTCTGAAACCACTCACACTCATCACTCGAATGATTGGGCACAAAGTCCAAAATAATTTTCAAATCCAATTCATGCGCCTTCGCAATCAAAGCATCAAAGTCCTTCAGCGTACCAAACAGTGGATCAATATCTGTGAAATTCGCTACATCATAACCCATATCGGCCATTGGAGACTTATAGATAGGCGAGAGCCAAGCGGCGGTAATGCCGATTTCCTTCAGAAACTCCAGTCGAGAGGTAATACCATTCAAATCACCCACACCGTCGCCATTACTATCCATAAAGGAGCGCGGATAGATTTGATAGAGCGTCGCTGACTCCCACCAATCCACATCGCTTGTGGCGGAAACACTCCAAAGGCAGAGCAAAAGCACTTTTAAAATTTGTAGTACCGTGGCAGACATTTCTTTGTAAACTAAATACCATCAGCAAGGTTGCTTGCGCCTTTTATACTTGTAGCACCACCGTTGGCAATAAAGATAATCAAACCACTTGGAAGCGTCTGCAACTGATAATCGTTAAAATATTTGCACCCTAGAAAAGCCATATGTTTGATTTATCATTTTTTTTTCTTAAACCTGATAAAAGTTTTGAAAAAAAAAATCATAAAAGTTCTTAAAAATTTGTGTATTGTTGAAATATTTTTTGGTGTTAACGAAAGTTAGGTCCAAAATGGTTCAAAATCGGTCTGCTTTAATTCTGAAATCCATTCCCAACTGCACTATAATGTCCGAAATAAAAAAATAACATAAATATGGAATAATTTTCACATTTGCCTATTTTACTATTTCGTTATATTTTTTCTTTAGCCAAATTAGGCTCGTCTCTCATGGTTAATATAATAATTCGTTCTGCTACCGATTCAATCAACGAGCCTGATTGGGATTCCACACAAGGAAGATTCATTAGAAATAGATTAGGCAAAGTTCTAAAAAGAATGAATATCTCCTTACTAGTCTTCATTTCACTTGAAGCTTCCAGTGAGTTTTTCTTTCCGTGTAACAATCAATATGTTACGCAGAATACCCGCTAACTAAGTTTCTGGGAGCTTTCTAAGCATTTGAATAAATTCACTTTCCAGAAAATCTACCAAGTATATTTCAAAATTTAAACTGTTTCTGGTTTTTCCCTCCCTTTTTCTGGTCTTATGAATGATGCATGAAGGAAGAAGAAAATTTTACTCAGTTCACAAATATATGCGGATTTCAAATAAAATTAAATGTATATGCATAAACTAATATATGTTTGTGTGTGTATGTGTAAGCATTTACACAAAACTCACAAATTTATATTTGCATTTATTTAGCTGTCTTGAACAGTCAGCATTTAGATTTCCCTACTGAAACAAAAAGGGCGAGAAAAATTGACTTTAAATCCCATATCTTCTATTACAATTTCAAAAGTTCTTTAACTGGTTTGCTTCTTTTCCGATTCGTTGTTTCAACTGCTGGCTCATTTTGGTTTAAACAATAGAATGAAAAAAAAATGCATTAATACGTAATGCTTTTAAATGTGTCCCTATATGATTTTATGGTCCTGATATGGTAACAGTCAATTAAGCACCAATTTGGCTTCGTCGATTTCTTTCCGATTATTTGGTTGTAAAAGAGACTTAACAATGCGAAAAGCCAAATGCCAAATATTTCGATAAAATAAACGAAATCGTCGAGTCTAGAAGCTAAACATTGAACAAAAAACCATATGAAAATAATAAAAAAAACTCATGGGCCGAATTTCTATCTGCTAATCGCTGGTAGATGGATGGCCACGAAGACTTTGAAGACAGTTAAATCATTCACTTAGATCTGTGCTGGAAGAAATTGCGCAGAAGTGCCAGCAGAGGAATGTCTGTCATGAAAAAAACGAAGCTCCGAGAGCTTGTTTGGGAGATTCTTCTGCATTCACTTTATTGTCCGTACCTCACATCAAGTGATTACCATCTACGAGATTCTTGTTAATGGCGAATGATTTGGCTGTTAAAGAATTGGTCTCAAGAAAAACCTGTGACATTACCTACAAAATGAAGATAAGTTATCGAACTAAGCGGTGCATATATGATATAAACGGATTAGTTTTATTTTTATTATTATTTTTATATTCCGTTTAACGCAAAATAATGGATTGATTTTTACCAAACAAATACTTTACATTACTTTTTTTTACGTTATATATTAATAATCTTTATTTTTAATAAAAATTCATAATGTTTCACTTTTTTATTATTAAAGTAAATTGCTATTTTTATTTTATTTTACTTTATTCAATTTTTCGTTTTTTATTTTATTTTATTTTCGTTTGTTTTACTTTTATATTTCACTTACTTCCTTTTATCTTAAGTTTTTGTGTTTTAAATTAATTAAGTATGTTATTTCTTAACTGTTTTTCTATTCATTTATATTTTGCATTCTCATTCTATAACTAAATTATGAAGATAAGCATATTCCTGATCGCTTCCGATTTCATGGAAAATCACCGAACCCAAAACTTTCCTCACTTTTGTATGTAAACAACTAATGAATAAGCGTAATGTTTTCGAACTGATTAGATCCGAAGCTTCGATAAGTGCCAATTAGCTACCTGGCTTGTGAACGACTACCAACTGGCAAGGTCTGCGGCATTCGCACTATGTGTGGCTGCTGGCCTCGATTACGCTAAAGTGTTGAGCTAAAATCACTATTTCGTATGAGGGGATCATAAATAATTTAGATTAAAAAATAGTAGGAATTTGGTTTTTGCAATAAATTTAAAAAAAAATTATTTGAATATTATTGCTATGGGGTTGCCGAGAGCATGCAATGTATTTAGTAGTATCATATTCCATAAAATTCATTACTTTTATTTAAAAAGAAATTTATTTGTTAGAAATAAACAATTAGCTTTTGCCTAACTTAAGGAGGAAATCACGTTTTTTCATTAAATTTGTGTTTTTCCAAGTTTCTTACTCAAGAAACACGAATTTTACTTAGTTTCACCGAACAATCATCTTTTTGTTTCTTTGTGTGTATTTAGCTAAAAGTAAACTTAAATTAGACGCCATTGACGTTAAGTAAATTGAAGTGAAGTTAGTGGCGTGGGTGCTGTACACGGAAGCGTTGATAGCTTATTTCACTCATTCTGCTGTATTCCTTTTATTATAATATTTACAGCGCGAGAAGCGAAAGTTGAACTAATCAACGCGACATTAACAGTACATTAATTTACGCGGCAGAAGCAGCAGCCCAAAAGGGAAAAAATGACAAAGCAAAATCAACTTTTCTACAAGAAAGGTTGTGTCGCTGCGCCCCCTCGCCTCTTCGCGGTCGCAAGTCTTGGACTTTAGCAATTACGCTGATTATTTGCATTTATCTCTTTAACTCAATCTCACGATGGGCCATTAAGTAAATAACTGTACGCAGTGTTACTACTCCATAGCAATCTAACTTATCAACGCTCACTGTCGCCGACTCCTCAAAAGGCTGCACGGTTTTTGATGATTTCTTTTTTCACGCGCTCTTTCGCTTTTGCGTGTGTTCGTATGTATGTGAGTTTGCATGAACTTTCTGCGTGGGTAAAATAATAATCTACGCTCATTATTGCTTACTTCAAACTTTATGGCATAACATCCATCATTTACTTGATCTCAGTCGACTGATTATCTTATTCAAAGACGTCCCTCTTACAGGCCTAAGCTTTAGCACGTTTTCATTCGACTTTCATGTTTTTATGTTTTATATAATGAATTTTTCTCTCAATATATACAATAAGTTGTTGTTGCCTAAATGTGTGTGTTTGTATATATTTCTGCTCGGTTAGTGGAGAAAAAATTATTCATTATCGTAGGCGTTTTTGTTTCAGATAAATGAATGAAATTTTACGCATCGTTAATATTTGGATATTTATAAGCAATCATTGTTTGTATAAATAAACTACGGCGATAAGTTTCGGCATTATATAAATATATGCTTTATAGTGGGCTTGAAGAAAATTGAAGTTAATGTGCTGTATTTCTTACCATCTATTCTTTCTATCTTAAAGAGATCTTAAATCTGTATTTTATTTTCAATTTCAAAGGGTTTCGGTGTGCGACTTGACTGAGATGCGCTAATTGGCATTTGGATCTTGGCAAATTTTTTCCATTTATTGTTCGCCTTAGAAGATTTCATGTTTTTCATACATATAGTATATACAAATTTAAATACATATACATATATGAAAAAGTTAATTAAATAGTTCAAAAATTAAAAATCATAACTTTAAAACACCGTAAGAACCTCCAGTTTTGAACGTAAATATTTGTAGAATTTATAATCTTTTACTCTCATATCTTCATATACGCTTTGCTCAAATATATTTGGTAACAAATTTATGTCAAAACCGAGCCTCATTTTCAGCGTCCAACTCAATTTGCTTGCCTTTTTTGATAAATGGCGATGCAGACTCTGTAATTCAGCAAATTACACTCATATTGACGCAAAACTTTTTTTCGTGCGCTATTAATGTCAACGCTATTTTTCTTTCGGATATTATTATGCTGTGTCTTTTTTACCTTCTTTACATTATTTTTGTTAAAATATTGTTGCACCATAAAATTATCTCACTTGACAAATTATTCACAGACAAATATATGGTCTATTATTTATTATTGCATAGTTTCCAAAGAAGCTGCCACGTTGCTGAGATCATCACGAAATGCCATTTAAAAGCTCGTATTATCGCAACTTGTATCATTATCTCATTGCTGCCCACTCTACGCCTTTTCAAAAAAAAAGCATATATGCTTGTCGATTTTGTGATAGGAGAATTTTTTGTCTCGTCATTGGAACGCTTTGTGTAGTATGAGTATTGAAATGATAACATTGCGCTAAAAAATGCATACTGAATTTGAAGTAATTTATAAAATAAAACAAATCTCACATGTAATAAATTTTTGCTTAAAAAATAGTAACAATTGAGACGTTGTACTTCAAGTGCACACACATCTGAAATGATTCTTTTAAAATGAGTTCAAACCTAACGTCTTAGGTGTGCGACTTGGTTAGATGCTTATGTGAATGTCTAAATGTAGGCAAGATTTTTTGTTTGAACATAGCGTGAGTCCATGCAAAGGTTTGGGTACAATATTACTAAAAAAATTAAGCATTTTCTTCTTTTTCAAAATCGATTGAATAAAAAATTTAAATTTTCCGTTTTTTATTTATTTTTTATAGTATATAAATATTGTTGAAAACTCGAATTGGAGTGGAAATTAAATTATTATTTTCATATTCAATTATTCGTGATCTTGGAATAGATCTTTAAAGTTTAAATAACATTTGCTTAGTATGGCTAACAACAATTTCGGTATGCCGCCTGGCAAAAAAAAGAAAACTGCGCTCAAATGTATGCTGCATTTTCAGATAATTTTTTTCTTCGGTTGATCACGTCT